GTGGGGGGGGGGGGGCTTCTTCTTAACTTCTTCTTCGAAGTTTAGTTTATCTATCCATCAAGTTAGAGAGTGACTGCATTCATTTTCAATTTCATTCCAATTCATTTTTCACCGGTAGTGTCACCCGCTCTTATCCATGGAATTTTAGGGTATACGAACTTAAAGCTGATTCTCGAAAAAGGATATCTGATGAGGATGAAGGTGTGGCAATCGGAGCTGGTACTATGTTTACGGTCGTCCCGTCGCTTATTGGCATAGTTCCGTGCTTTGGTACTAAAAACTCTTACGTGTAGTTAAATCAGGTTGTTCTCAGGGTCATTGCTTTAATACTCCTTCAAACACCCAAGAAACTGAGTCAAAGTTGAATCCATGCCGTGACAAAGAGTAGACCATTGTCGACGCTCATTCATTAGGAGGGGAGGGCAAGTGGCCAGAAGGGACAATCAGTAGTCCGATCCTACGTACGAGTTCCCGCAGTATGAACCAGGTTTTCCATCCTCGGTGGCAAGCCGATCTGAGGAGAAATCCCCACAATTTTCCATGACACATGATTCATGCTGATCGATTGCTTTCCCTTTTAAGTGCTCTTCCACTCTCTCGAGGCCAATATCCATGGAAGGCAGTTTTGCGAAAGCTGTTCCACTTCTTCTCTTATTTACGAGTAGCAATGAATTTTTGATGTAACTTGTATTTTCAGAATTGACTGGGGTGATAGAAAGTTCCTGGACGAATCAGCATACAATCCTGTTGAGAGCAATGGCCATTCACCAAGGTTCGGAAGTATCAATGGTTTTCTTTTCTTTTTTACGAGAAAAAAAAATTAGATTTTTCGTAGGGAAATTATGTCGCAACACTGAATGTAATTCATCTTGTAGTCTCAAGTTCTGGGTCCTTCCATAGAAGCTTGAATGACTAATTCTGAGTTGTTCCCAAGAAATGACTGGCTGAGGTAAACTCGGGTTTTTAACTGAGTGAGATTTTTCGAAAATTTACTCCTCAATGAAAGCTCCTATACATATCGGGAGCATAGTGACGAGCGAGGAGTTTGTAGAATATAGAGCTTGAAAGTTCCTAGAATTTCCAAATTACCCTTCTACCAAGACCCCAATAAGGAGTAGGGATTTTGTGGAAACAGCCGACCCGTTTGGGGAGGTTAAATGGGTGTTGAGAGTCACATTTGAAGGAATATTACGAAGGGATGGGTAGAAGGCGGGGTATATACTGCCCCAGACAGATGATATTTTCCGCTCCCGGGGCGTTTGATTCATATAATCGGGTCTGAATAAATGAAATACAGACTTCAAAATCACCGTCTAGTCCGTCCAAAGAGTGGAATCCTTTCCGAATTTGGATTCGATGTTGAATCATGGCGCATTGCAAGGGAAACTTGCAATTGAGGCACCTTCTATTGCTGCTAGGGCTTACCACAAGTTTGAACACACTCTTTCTCCTTCCAAAGCTGAACTCTTTTCGTTGCGAACCCTTACAAGCAAGCCTTTTTTAGGTTAGTCCTGAGTTCATGGAGTGAATGTTCGACGACATGTGGTCCAGGAGTGCAGACTCGCACGGCAGAATGCATGGCTGCACATCCTATTGCAGGAATGATTCGCCTACCGTATTCGGAATGTCAATGTATGCTTTTGACATTCATCTTTCAGCATGTCTCAGCAGTGCACATACCCAATTGTTCACTGTGAATCCCTTGAGTTCTTTTCTAGCACAAGCACAGCCGTCACTTTTCGAACCCTGTGAAGCTCGTCCATGTCCCCTTCAAGAAGACTCGAAAACCAATAATGAAGAGGTCCCGTTCAAATGGGAAAACGGTGACTGGGGACCATGTTCGGCCAGCTGTCTGGGAGGTTAGCCTTATTCTTACTACTACAACTGGGAAATTACCTGAAGTCTTCTAGGAAAACAAAAAGCGGCCTTGCTATGTCGAGAAACTGCCACTGGTCGTGCTGTACCATGGTCTCAGTGTGACGCTAGAACTCGTCCACCACAACTCGTCCGTCAATGCAATCAGCACGCTTGTCCACCACTCTGGCAGGTACTATTCCAATTGACTAAATGTCTTTGATTTTGTTCATTCGGACGCATTCAGGTGAGCGCTTTTGGAGCTTGTTCCGTGTCTTGCGGTGGTGGTACCAGCACTCGAACCGTGAAGTGTGTCCGTCCAGTGAGTCGAAGTGGAGGTAAGTCCTTCACGCTTCATTGCACAAACAGGGAATCCATGAATGAACTTTGTTTCTGCGCAATGACTTGCTACAACGAGAACTAAAAGAATCCCTTGAAATTTTTGAAGTCAGAAAGTCATGGATGGGACCCTCGAGGCCTGCTGCTAGGAGAATTCTCAGCACCTGCTTCTGCATCAACCCAGCAAACTTTTCGATCGTTCGCGATCCTTTGCTTGCTTTGAAAACAGCATAATTCTATGAAAACTTTGTAGAATGGCATAGGAGAAGCGTGTTGATGGGCAGTAGTCCTGAGCCCTTCGCGCGGCAAGACAGCTAGCTAGAATTCGTCGCGCCTTTGGGCAGATCGGGACTACTATTGCACCCTTGGATGGTGCCTGTAGAAGAGAATTTTTAGGAAAATCTACTTCTCCTTTAGAGGGAAGCCTCCTAGAAATTACTAGAAAAAAATTATTTATGGCATTTATGTGGAGAAACGCTTCAAAAAAAGTAGCTAGAAAGGACTAAGGAATCAATTTTCCTTCTTCGAACGTCGTTGCGAAAGCGTCGTTCGAAATTCGTAGATCGATACCTATGATTTATACAGGATGCTCACAAATTTAAAAAAAAAAAGTCCGAAATCAATTTTCTGCCAAGAAGAATGGAATTTGAGGCGCTGATGCTCACATCGTACTTCGAGATGCTGAATGTCCTTTGCCCAAGCCAAGTGAGACAGAAAGTTGTGGAGCCGTTGTATGCCCAGCTAGTTGGATCGTACGTTCTCCTTCATTGAGACCTTCGAATGAGCTATTTCCCACAATGTCCTTTCCTTTTCCAGACCGGAGCCTGGACAGAATGCTCAGCGTCATGTGGTTCTGGAGAACAGAAACGAAGTGTGGTATGTGAAGGAAGAGATGCTCGTGGTCGACGAGAACGACGTCCAGAAAAGGAATGTGGCACTGATGAAAAACCTCCTGCTGTGCAGATGTGCAGTCTAGGTGGGCTCATTTGGGAAATTGAAAGTGTGGACTTTTCTTGAAGACGTCTAGAATTTCAGGTACTTGTGGTAAACCCCAGTTGCTGACGAATCGCGTTTTCGAGCAGAACGCATCCGAAAGAAAGCTCACATTAGGAATCGGTGGAGTGGCAACGCTTTATCAAGGTAATGTACATTACCGGCAGAGAGCTTGTAAAACTGATAGGTTTCCCAGAGAAATAAGTAAAAATCAGCCAGGTTCAGCACCCCCTCGGTTACGCCACATACTTGTTTCCGTCAGTAATCCTGGGGCTATTTGGATGCCTATTTACCCAATGCAAAGACTAGGGTTGCCAGCCTTTTTTGGCGCAGTTCGTTACCATCGTAGGCAAAATGCTACAAACCGCTTATTCGTAACACCTACTGGTTGGTAAGTCTGGCAAGGTTAGATTCATCACCCATGAAAACAACGGCAGGGTGCTATTTGTTTGTTGTCTTGTTTATTTTACTAAGTTCCAACCCTTCCTTTCATCTTTTCCCTCTTTTGCTTGAAGAATCATAACTAAGCTGTAAAAAAAAAGGTTCTCTTTTTGAGCCATCCCTCACGGGCCCTGGATTACTGTATTTCGAGAAATACGATGATTGTTCCTCAGGGAAATATAAGAATCGTCAATTTTTTGCAGGAACCAGCATCAAAATCAAATGCCCACGAAAGAACTTTGACAAAAAGAAGATCTATTGGACAAAAAATGGCAAGCGAATCAGGAACGACGGTGAGAATCCCAACAAACGTTCATATTTGCAAGTTTTCCTTCTGATTCTGAAAAGGGCAACATGTCTGTGTCGGGTTGCCAATAGGATTATGGGGTTTTTCTCTTTCAAACAACAGATTGGTTAGAAATAGCTAGGAGTCGCTTGGGAATTGTTGCACTAAAATGTGAAACATTAGCGGAAACATCCCGATATTCTCATCAGAATTTGGTTTGGAAGGGAAAGAACTTTTGTGGGGTTCGGATGTCTTCAGTACCTTTAGAAAATATGGTCCGCGGCGTACGCCGTACTGATACTCCATCATTACTTTCAACTGTAACTTAAACAGATAGAACAAGTCGTGGGATGACAACTAAGCCCTTATAGACCCTTCTACGTTTACCGTGATCTCTTAGTCACTCTACAAGAACCCTTGCAGATAGGGTTCCCATAAAAAATGTCATCGCGAAATACCAATAATTTTTTTTCGTAACTCCTGAGACAAGGAAGTGTTGGCCGGTGAACTGAGTTCAGAGAATGGGAGAGAAGGAGGGGTGTTCTCGAAGACCTGAAGATACTGTATTTTTCGAATTATTTCTAATCGCTGATTTCTGAACCTCTAACAGATGGATGGCTAGGCTGACATGCAACCAACCCGACCGATGGACGTTTTGAGTCGTCACTTGAGGCTTCAAATGGTGTTTCACCTCTAACCATCAATTATTAGGGATCAAAGCTTAAAGTTTTTGGGTTGAACGATTCATTTTGGAAAGCACCCAGACCACCGACTATGGAGAATTGCAGTCACGTTAGAATGCTTATTTGGTCTATGTGTAATACATAAATAATTGACTCGCGGGAGGTAACCGATGTAAAAGTCAGGATTTCACCTTCTCAAGACAACCTAGCACGAATAATTATATCCAGAAGGCAGGTACCATTGCTTGCCCAATGAGGGTGAACTCCCAACTTCACGATGTCGGTGTGGAGTTTTGTCTTCTCCGAAGTATGTAGCATCGCCTGACCCTACCCAATCTCCCGCTTCAACTATCAGTCATAGAACTGAACAAATGTCTTCCAGCACATATCAAAGTGTCAGCAAATGGTAATCTACGCCTATTTCACGCTCGAATGGAAGATGCTGGTGTATACGAATGTTATACGGATACTTTACAAGGGAATGTCACGCTTCGATTCAAATATCGTGACGAGGAAAAGGTAAGAACAACGTTGGTGAATTGCTTGATGGCACGAAATCTTTTCCTGCTTACGGTAACAAAATGGTCTTTTTCGTCCAATGACGGAATTGTCGAAACTCGAAAAATTACAAATTCTTGAAATCTCATCGAGTTCCCGACAATTTTTCAATTTGAAGTGTTGAGGACACCGTCCATTGTCATTGAGGACCCTTTTCTACAAGAAATTTCCCTACAGAACCTTCATTTTCAGCCAAATCGTCTCCGCCCATCCTATCTACAGAAAGGCCACAAAGGAAAGTACAAGAATGCATCACTTTTTGAGGTAAGGGATTTAACTTGATGGAAATTCAGGATCATTTCTTTGAAGTAGCCGATCGACGACAATCTGCTTGTTGCGGTACGCCATGCACTCAGCATTAGACCGGAACTGCATAGAATTCGCTATCAACACATTCAATGCGTTGTGGTTTCTACCAAAATGCTTGCCATCAGGGAAAAGTTCGGAACGTCTGTGAAAAGAGGGATTTTGTATACCTGGGTGGAGTTCGATCTAGGGAACTGTGCATTCGCTACGACCCGATTTACCATTACCCAAGACCTTACCCGATTTTATAAGCAATCGCTTCGTCAGCACAATTTTTAAGCATTTCAAAGACACTTTGACTTTTCAGGCGATCCTCTCTGCTGGAAGTTATCCCGAAGTTGCAAGGGAACTACAAAAGCATCGTGATACAATTCAAGCACGATGGGAAATGGGACATTGGACAGACTGTAAACAAGCAACATGTGGCGTTGCTGGCTATCAGGTATCGCTCAAACTGAATTCTCGACAATCCTGAAGACTTGAATGGCAACTGTTTAGGCACGCGAGGTCACTTGCAGCGTAATGGTAGATGGAGCACGTCGAACAGGAGATCCACGGCTCTGCACCGCTTTGGCTTCACCTCGACCCCCTGAGACAAGACCCTGTCACAAAGAGGAATGCCCCCGATGGGATGCAAGCGATTGGACTGAGGTGAGCTCAGGTCATAGCGGCAAGCAAAGGGACAAGGCACACAGTCAAACAGAGGGCGCATGCTAGAAAGTTCCAGAAGAAAAGTTCCTCATACTATAGGGTGACCCACGATCCAGGGATCGAAATCTTACCAACATCCGTTCAGGGCAGCCAGACATTCCATCCCTCTGGAATTCGTTAATTGGTACCAGACCCTTCTGGAAAAGTAAAAAACCTACTTTTGTACATCAGCTGCCCCCCTCAAGTCATTGTACAGGCCAGATAAGGTGCCAGAACACCATTGCGATGGATTCCGAAAGGAATCGAATGCGGCGGCGCATTCAAAGAACAAAATTAATCAACTCCATAAGACCTTAGAGACTTTGAAAGAGACTTCAGTTATATATGGTCTTTTTTGGCACGAGTTACAGGGAACCTTGTATTGTTCACTCTCCCATTTCGTATAGTGGTGAAGTGTCCTTGAAAGGAAACCAAATGTGCCTCCATAAATCTCATTACGATTAGAGTTGATCACCTGAAATGGGCTGTACGGCGTGACAGCCACTCCTAGCTCTCGTTGTTGGCGTAGGAACTGGCAGCCGAAAAACTGTGGTGTACTGATGGCATGAGGGGAAAAAAGAGCATGGGAAAAAGCTGGAATTTCCTAAAGATTAACCAGCCCCATGTGAGAAAGACTCACCAGTTCATAGCGGATTGCGCCAGCCGGCTTCCATTCCAAATAGTGGTGGTATTGGTTTACACAAGGATTCGGTGATTTCAGTTAATGTAAAGCCTGTCTTTCTACCTTTGTCGCCGAGTCCAATACCGCTGAGTCGAACCGGAAGAGATGAGAGGGTTGATCGACCTAGGCACGTACCGGTTTGGGATATCGTCCGCAGGCACTCCACATCCTCCCATGGTACTGGCATACTTATCTAAATGCGTTCCTACCACCTCAATCAGCAGCACCTGACACCGAATGCCCTGTCTTCCGTTATCAACGTAACACCTAGGCACATACTGGTTCGGGATTCGATCCCTGGATCATATGCCCCACTCCAGCCCAGTGTACTGACCTGGTCTTCTAATTAGCTTCCTATTGCCTCGGTTAACGGATGCTGGCGCTTTAAGACTCTCTGCTGTGCTCCCACGAGGGCTTGACTGTAGGAAAACCTGGCAAACTTATACCCATCAGGCCACCTTCCTGTTCCAGTGTTCAACTGCTCCCTGCCAGCGGAATGGAGTAGCAAAACAACGTCGGCACGTAAAATGTATGACAGCGAATGGGGAAGCAGTTGACGAGGAACGTTGTGACAAAACCCAAAGACCGAAAACACGCAAGGAATGCGAAAATCGTGGGTTGCCTTTTTGTTCGGTCAAGGTATGAGCCATTATTATTATGAATTGTTCGCAGCAAGCTGTAAAGCTGAATGGCATGCATCTGACTGGGGGTCTTGCTCATCGAATTGTGGCACAGGAGGGGTACAGGTAAGCTTACTCGGACGTAAGTACGACTACAATTTCGCAAATACCGTCTCCTTCAGCTCCGACTATTGTCCTGTGTTTGGGCAGCAAGTCGTGCTGCAGCAGGACGAAACTGCGATGGACGACGTCCACCAGCTGCACGTTCTTGTCCGTTGGCGGGTTCGCTTCCTCCATGTAGTCCTACTGCCCTCCCACTACAACAGGGTAAGTTCTCTAGAAAAAAACCCTTCCCTTCTGGGAATGATTCTCCAACCTGCATGAATTTCCATTTAATTTCTGTTATGCAATCCCTTCTAGATGAATCTTGCGAAGACAACTCGCGCTACTGTGATATTATCAAAGTTTTCCATTCGTGNTGTCCTGTGTTTGGGCAGCAAGCCGAGCTGCAGCAGGACGAAACTGCGATGGACGACGTCCACCAGCTGCACGTTCTTGTCCGCTAGCGGGTTCGCTTCCTCCATGTAGTCCTACTGCCCTTCCACTACAACAGGGTAAGTTCTCTAGAAAACAACCCCTCCCATCTGGGAATGATTCGTCAACCTGCATGAATTTCCATTTAATTTCTGTTATGCAATCCCTTCTAGATGAATCTTGCGAAGACAACTCGCGCTACTGTGATATTATCAAAGTTTTCCATTCGTGAGTTTCCTTCCTTTTTTTACTTTTTATCTATCCTCGTTGTTACCTCACCTACTGCTGTAGGCATTTTGTGAAAAAGAGTTAAGTTCTTGCAAAGCAGATTTCACAGTCCGCAGGATTTCGTGATACAGTAACCATCCACAGCGAAATGGAGAAGGCAACAGACAAGCGGAAAAACAAAAACAGAACAACGAATAAAGGAAGGTTTTTGGCAAATCTGTGGGGGCACCATTCTGGATGAACTCGGGCTCGTGCCGCGTTGCAGCCAGGCGTTCGTGGCAGGACCCATGACGTGGGTTACTGTACCACAAAGTCCGCGGACGTTGAAACCTTGCTTGACAGGGAGGTTATTTCGCAATTACGACCGCTATGCGGACAACTACTGTTCCATTTCAGATGCGATTCTGGCGAGGTCCGTCAGAAATGCTGTGCGACATGCAAGTATATGGACAAACGACTTCGTTAATCATTGGCGAAGAACATTTCCCATTTAGGCAATTCTCACTTTGAAAGTAAATCCCCAATTTCGCCTTTTTCCACAGTCACCCAACGAATTCCACAGCAATATATGTACGTAGTTGTCAGTTCTGACTAATCTTTCTGTGTACCTCCTTCTATGATCTCATTAGACTAGCTATTTCCCTGTCAGAGTATCCCCCAACGAAATCCCCTTCTGCTGGTCTCTGTCTATACAAAAGTTGTGACTGCCTCTCCCCTGCGCTCATCATTTCTCCTTTAAGTACAAGCTAAACCCTGCCCCTCCCTTCTGTCTGCGCTCGCTTCAGTGCAATATGTCCATATAAATAAGGCGAAGATTGTTGCAATACAGAATAATGATATGTGTTCTTTTTTTCTTGAATTTCGCTTCTTATTTTGTGTTATTAATAAATATTTATTTGTTTTATGAACTCGTATTTTGTTAGGAGCGGAGGTACTGCAGTGGAAAGTGGCGCACTATCACACACGCACGGTCACCGGATCGATATCCGGCTAGGCCAACCGAGCCTTCCTTCCTCCCGGTGTCGAATAATTGGTATCAGATTCGCCTGGGAGGGTGAGAGCACTGGCTTATGCATCGACTGACCACCACAAATTATTGTAAAGGCCCCATGCGCATTCAGTACGCCATTACAATCCTGAATTGAAGTCGAATGCGGGGCGCACCCTTCAGACGAGATTGATCAACGCCCGAAGACTTTTCAGTCTTTTATTTTATTGTTATTGTGCATCACAAGCCAGAAGTTGCCGTTCGCAGAATTTTCCGCAAAGTAATAGCGTACAGGCAGATAAGCACTGAACGACCATGATGAACCCGTCACAGATACGGCATACAGAAGAGGGACATAAAACAGTTGAAAGGCCTTCAATCACCTCAATCCTTACATTTCTGCCCTGTCGTGTAAACAAGGTAGAAGGAGGAGAACGTCCGTCGCGTGCGTCCGTCGAAATAGGTNACCCCGCCTACTCCGCGCGCGATGCAACCCAACCGAGGTCTTGAACTGACATTACAGTACCACCAAGTGTCAGTGGAGCGAATGATTGGCATTTGTTCGTGATATCTTCCCTTTAGCTGAATGCTGTGGAACAAGCGCAAATCGTGTGCCCCACAGACGACTGCGGCGTTTGTCAAAGATCGCGCGCTGGCGCGTCGCATGCGACGACTGCGGTGTGACCTAGTTTTGACGGACGCGCGCAACGAAGCGCACCCATTTTCTCCTAATTAGGAATTTTCTGAGCTAACTTAACTTTATCTTTTCTCTCCTTTTTCATTGCGTAGAAAAAAAACCAGTCGGAACTCACATCATTTATTAATTTCTTTTGCCGAAGAGCCAAGAGATAGGCATAATAAGGGAAAATTCTATCATAATCTCAATTTGTTGGTGCATCACAGAAATCGATATTTACAATTTACAACCATAAATTTGTACATATGAAAAATGTCGATAAGTCTAAACAAGGCAGATTAAGACCATCCAAGTTGTATATTAGTCACCAGAGAGGAAAGTGTCTCTCCATAAAAGAAATAATACTCATTGGCATACACGAATCAATTGCACATGTAAATATCTCTCATTTGGTTATGGAATTCTTCATTTCTTGATTAATCTGGCATAAAATGAGCTGAGTATTGCCGGTATCAACTGAAATCATTTTTAGAGTTTGTCTCTTGTTTACAGCTTTATTTACAATAGTGAGTGACATACCTGAGCCACACTGCCTGCAATGGACATCCAAGCAGCGACATTTACTACATAGAGCAGATCCGTCCTTAGGGGCATGTAGCAGGTAGCTGTATAGGTGGTTGTTTTGTTCGGTGCTTTCATGTCACCAAAACGGCACTCATCCTCCTTTCCCGGAACGCAGCTGAAGAAGTAAACTGTACTGCTAAACTGTACTGTGGGGAGTGTTCACAGAGGACTTTAGTAAGACTCCCAGGAGACCCTCATGGGAAGGGTTACCATTAGCACACCCAAAGTTCTTCGAATACGCGGTGGGCGTTCAATGGAAGTTTTGTGACCGCTTGTATCTCCCACCCGACTGCCCCCTCTCCTAGAAGAAACTAGAGAAGACATGGGATCACTAGAGATCAGCGGTAGTTAGCGACCACCTGGCAGAAGCGACTCAGCTGAAAAGTCAACAAGTTGGACTTCTCCCGTCAAACGGTCTCCTCCTACGTTGCTCTGCTGACTTGCAAAACAACGGACGGAATCATTAAAGGTCGCCCAGCAAGAAATCATCCAGCGGAAAGGCTTACCATGAAGCAGGTAGAACACTCTTGGGCACAGCCTTCTGATGCATATACCATTTGGAAGCACGCCACACACGCAAATCATCTGATCCATCTACACCACAACATTCGAACTGAAACCTTGGCAATTGTTTCGTACGTAAATAAGGATAGATAAACAAATAAACAAGTAGATAACGAACAAATAGATAAGCATTAGGGTGAAAATGAATAAACAAATTGGGTAGGGCCTAATAGGCAGAAACTGAGTTTGTCGCATTTGAGGCATAAGGTTGTTTCATGGGGAGGATCTCTTCTTACCAGACTGGTATTTCCCTTTGGATTCCCATTTTTCTCATATGGCCCTACCTTGAAGCTCTAATCATTCTCAAATTGGGAGGTTTGTGTTCCAGAGATCCTGCTTCACTTCTATGCTCACAGCGGGATGGAAAAGAGGCTTCAGTCATGGGACACCTATCATCCTGGACAGAGACGACTGTGTTCCTTCCCAGGAGCCCTGCCCCAGGCCTCGTTGTACGAAATCCTGTTGAGTGTGCTCAAGCTCACATTGGACTGCAAATGATCCCAAGC